TCATTCTTCCTCCCTTTTTTGAAAATTGGGATAACATCTGCCTTCTTCCAGTCTTGTGGCATGTATCCCGCCCTCCCAGAGGTCTGGAAGATTATGAACAAAGGCTCTGCAAGCACTCTATAAAGTTCTTCGAGCACTCTTGAGTGCATACCATCTCTAATTTGATCCTGCACACTGGTTGTGATCTTAGCATTCTTAAAGCCTCTCCTGTGCCAATTGCACTGTTTCCTCCAAAAAGGTCAATCCCAAGCGATTCTTAAGTTTGGCAGTTTGCAGAAGATCCATGTTGCTCAGCTGCCATTTTTAATGTTAGGCTTCCGGAGACTGCCAGAATGGTCCCCCGAAAAAACTTTCACTAAAGCATTAAAGGGAAAAATGTTTTGAAAACTTTAGGTCTCTCTCTCTTTAGATCTCATGTCAGTTTCATTCCACACCATTGATCCCCCCCCCCAATTTTGTTTGCATGCAGCACTAAATTTTTATTTTTATTTTGCACTGGGGACACTGCCGTTTTCCTCATCTCTGATCCCCCTTTCAAGTCAATACCAGCAAGGAACTAAACCTCTTGCAGCTCCTTTTAAACTTCACCCATCGTTTTAATTTTTGTTATTTAGTGATGCAAGACTCTTGCTAGTCTCATATCACTAGACTCATGCTGCTTATCAAAAAAATTAAAAATGAGGGGGAAAGTAATCAATGGTGCTTGTGCACCAAATGAAGGGAAGATGGCAGAGGAATGACCTCAGTGTGGGCGGGGGAGTGAGCTTCAAGGGGCAGCAAAAGGGCAGAGTGGAATCTGAGGGAATCTGTACACTTTTGAATTACCTTTGGCTTGGAAGCAAAACAAGGGAAAGATCAGCACAAAAGCACTTTCAGAAAACTCAGAAAAGTGACCAGAAAGCAAACTGGTCACTGAAGGGAGGAAAATCAATGCAGAATGACAAAACCCAGTGGACATGCACGGTGAAAGCAAGGGAAAACACCATAATAGGCCCACATTTTGATTGCAAAACGTCTTGCCCTTTTTTGTTTAAGCCACCATCTTGTAAGAGGGTAGTATTGTTTAGTATTCTTTTATCTCTGCTATAATGCAAACTGGACAGTTATGGTTTGTCCAGTATATCCTGCTGTCTCTTGTTCAGGGAGCTAGAGCAAGAGCAGCTGCCCGATGAGGATCTGTTAAAATTCTTAGGGCTGTTTAACCTAGAAAAAAGAGCGAGTAAGTGAAGACATGATGGAGGTTGATAAAAATTATGCATGGCATGGAAACAGTGGGCAGGGAGAAGCTTTTCTCCCATTCCCATAATACTAGAACTCAGGGTTGTCCACTGAAGCAGAAGGGTAGGAGATTCAGGACAGACAAAAGGAAGTATTTCTTCACACAGAGTATAGTTAATTTGTGGAACTCGGTGCCACAAGGATGTGGTCATGGCCACCAATCTGAAAGGCTTTAAAAGAGGAGTGGACAAATTCATGGAGAATTGGGCTCTCGATGGTTGCTAAGTATGATGTTTATCTACTTCCTCCAGTACCAGAGATAGTATGGTCCTTTAAATCAGTTGCTGGGGAACACAGGCAGGATGATGTTGTTGCAATCTTCCCACTTATGGGGTTCCCTCTTTCCCACCAACCTAAGTTAAATTCCTGTTCTTCAAGTTTTTCTGTTAGTTTTAGTTCCAGTAAGTCTTCATATCTCATATCTCAGCAGCATACTTTTTTTGAAATAGGTTGGGGTTTGGAAAAGCTTCCAGTGGTGAAACCCATTTGGGTGTAAAATAGTCTTTTAATATTCTCGATACCTTCCTAATAAGATGCTGCTTAAAGTATTTGAGTTCTTCTGATTTTTCATACCACAAAAATGTTTGCCAGCTGGTTTAAAAGAGGAGTGGACAAATTCATGGAGAATTGGGCTCTCGATGGTTGCTAAGTATGATGTTTATCTACTTCCTCCAGTACCAGAGATAGTATGGTCCTTTAAATCAGTTGCTGGGGAACACAGGCAGGATGATGTTGTTGCAATCTTCCCACTTATGGGGTTCCTTGATGTAACTGGTTGGCCACTGTGGGAACAGAATCCTGGACTAGGTGAGCCCTTGGTGTGATCCAGCATGGCTCTTCTTATGTAGCCATAAACTGATCCAAACAGTGCACACTTGCTGAAAATATAGGCAAATCATTAGGCAAAATATTAATACTGTATAATTCTGCTGCAACAATATTTTAAATTGTGATCTTGCAGATAGGGATTCATCTTTTAAAACAATTTAATGTACAAAATGAAGTAATTTTAGATGCTTCAGAGACTTCTGGTTGATGGCGGCACGCTAACGGACCTATCGCCCGGACCTCCCGGGGGAAGGTCTGTTCTTCGGCTGGGGGAGGGGGTGCGCAGGCTCGCAACCCCCCCCAGGGACCCAGTGAGGGGGCCCTGGCCAGGGAGCTTTTAAGAGGTGGCCTCTTCAAGGGCAGAATGCCCGAGAATCGAGGCGTTTCTTTGCTCCGAAGGTTCCTCAAGCTATGAGACCGCAAGGTACTAGTGAAGCTGACCGGAGCAAGCGCAGGAGATCAAGCAATTAAAATGAAGTTGAAAGCGGGGTCGGAAGACCAGTAATGAACGTGAGTCGACTTAAAGGTGAATTTAAAACTAAAAGATAGCTCCCCAACCTATTGCACTGAACGGGAAAAGGCGAGCGTGGGGAGGGACGCCTCACCCACGCACGAACTTTTTAAGCGAGGGGGGGGGAGCAGAAGAAAACGTGGAGAAAACTGCCTGGAGGCACTTACCCGAGGAGTTGAAGCGCTCAAGTGCATATTCAGAGACCTTTTAAAAGTTGGAGAAAGTAAACAAGCGATAAAGATGGCGGGGAAGAAGGACAAAGAAAGACTTTTGAAAGCGAAAGGGCTGGATAGTCCTAAACAGGAAGTTACCAGCGATACAGCGAAGGCTGTAGCAGAGTACATGCGCCCTCTGCTGGAACCGTTGAATAACTTCAAAGAACAGATGTCAAAAGTAACACAAAGCATAACTGCAACACAAGCCCAAATTGGTGATATGATTCAAATCATGAAGCAGGATGCTGAGAAGATAAAGGAGGTGGCTGTAACTACGCAAAAAGTAAAGAAGAAGGTACAAAAGCTTGAAGAGAAGATAACCTCTTTGGAAGATCAAATGCTACAAGTACAAATGGAAAAGGCCAACATGGTTCTTCGCTTCCAGGGCATGCCGGAAAAACCAGGTGAGAATCTTAAAGAAGTGATGAGTGAACTGTTAGCCCCAGTGATAGAAATGAAAACTGAACTGTTGCTAAATGAAATGGATGTGATCTATAGATCATATTCAGGATATATATAAAAAGAACAATCTGCCTGAGGAAATAGTTGTGAGATTCTCGAAGAGGCATGTGAGGGATGCAATCCTGAAAGCTGTTTCTGGAGCTCCCCTGAAAGTAGGGAAAAGTGCTATCAGAGCACTAAAGGATATTCTATTTGAAGTCACACAACGGAGAAAGAAGTACAAGGAGCTGGTGCTTTTCCTTCAGACAAATTCAATTGGATACAAATGGTTGTTTCCAGAGGGAGTCACTTTCAAGATCAAAGATAAAAAAGAAAAAAATGACTCTGTTACAAAAGCCAAAGAATTCTTAAAGGTTCAGCTGGGAAAATCAGAGGACGAGCAAAAAGAAGAGGACAGCAAGTCTAGTGGCGAGCTGGACTCTGGTTCTTCTGGAGAGGACTCTCTGGCTGAAAAAGGGGCAGCTGCCCCCAAAAGTCCTTATAAGCTACGGAAAAGATGAGGAAAAGAGAAGTAGAGGCTGAAGGACTCTGAATTGTGCCTTGGAAAACGATGAAAAGAGATGACTTGGGGGTATTGTCTGTAGACAGTGAAGGGGTAATAGTTATAGAAAAGAAAAAAGTATTATTAATGATTGACTCAGTTTATTTTATGTTTAAACGATGGGAAGATTTACTGTAACTAAGCTAATGAAGATCTCATCTTTTGCGTTTTTAGGTAGTGTGGGTATCTTTTCTTTATCCTGTATATGTAGTTCCCCTTCCTGTTTTTTCTGTGGTAGTTTTTTGTAGTTTGCTAAAATAATAAAAAAATCCCCTCCGGGAGCTTAAAAAAAATAATTTTTGATGCTTCACAAATATTGTGCAATAATGAAAGTTGCCATCCTTCCCAATGTGCAGTAGCATAAATCCTATAGTGAGGCTTAATATGGTTGTATCCATTCCACAGTATCTATAGTGTGCAAAATGCTTTACAATTTTTGTCTTACAGTGCAATCTTATGCATAGTTACTCCAGACTAAGCCCATTGACTAGACCAAAGTAATTGCATAGGATGGCAGCTTCATTTTCATAACTATATGAGGTTGTTCTCATTTTATGGTTGAAGAATAGAGATTTAGATTCAGAGATCATAACATAACCAAGGTTACCTGGGAGACCCTATTTGGGAAAGTTTTGAACCCAAGTGCACGGACCACATGGTCACCCACTAGATCATTAATCTTTTTATTAAATGGATTACAAGGCAAACAAAGCATATTGGATAAATAGGCATGTCTTAATTCATGTTTTGCTGACAACCTAAATGGGAAAATTTGGAAAGTGCTCAGTATTCTCTGCCAGCATGTCCAAGTGACATCTATGAGAGCATATATTGGGAGGAAGTGAGGTTGTCTTAGAAATGTGGCCAGGTTTTGTTTTGTTTACATTCCAGAACTTTGAAACTGGTCTGCCTTGCTGGCTTCAGCAAAGTGCTTCGCTTCGCTCTGCCCCACCCTAGCTTTGTGCACGGTTCTAGAGCTTGCAGTTTACTGACACTGCATTTCCAGTTTGACTGAAGAGTTTCTTTCTCCTGCATCTGCTTGTGTTGCTCCCTTTTGGAGTTTGCTTTCTTTGAGAAACTGCCGGGAATAGCAGCCTAAGTTGGGTGCAGAGGGGCCTCTGTCGCAACTTGTATAATACTTACATGGAAAATGTCTTTCTCAAAGGCTCTCGGTGCCCCATGTTTTACAGTACATGAACAGTGGGCTAGTCCAGGTGTTCCCTCTTCTGTTTGCGTGATATGTGAATTGGAAATTCAAGAGAAGAGTTGGCAGAATGGAAGAGCTGAGGGTTTGTATTTACCTATTCTAACTGCATAGCAAATAAGAGGGTTTGGGGCATAGCAAAATCCTATCTTTTCCTGTCCACAGTTAATAAATGTATTTGGTCTCAGACATAAAATGATTGGAACTGTAATGATTTGAACAAGCTCTAAAAAAGAAGTATCGCTCTGTTCTTAATGAAAGCATGAAAATATTGTCTTTCTGTAGTGTAAATTGAAGTGACACTCTTTACTCTGCAAGAGGATAATTCAGGGACTACATGTCTTAAAAGCTTAACAGATAGCTGTAATGAAACTATATTTAAAGAATGAGACTGAGTTTTGTGATGACAATATTTTATTTTTTCTTTGTCCATTTCCCTGTTTGTGATGTTGTTGTAGCTTTCATATATAAAGTAAAATTCCTAATGGTGTTTGTGTCTTTTCGCAGGACAGTCGGCCCAATATGTCAAGACCTCTGATCACTAGGTCCCCTGCATCTCCTTTGAACAATCAAGGCATTCCCACGCCAGCACAGCTAACAAAATCCAATGCACCAGTACATATTGATGTGGGTGGGCACATGTACACCAGCAGCTTGGCTACCCTTACTAAGTACCCCGATTCAAGGTAATACTAAGGACTGTGTTGCATGTTTCTGGTAGCTCTGTTACTTTACCCACTTGTCTTCTCCATAATATACTCTTTACACAGTGTAAAACCTCTTTCTTTAAACTGAATCCCCTATTTCTAGGTGCCTTGAAGTAGTGATTGGAAAACATTTTGTTAAATGAAGCACAGCAACTAAATTCTTTTATCTTCGCTCAGTACCACACACACTAGTCTAGGTGTTCAGTCCTTTTTGGCTTTGCCTTTTGACTAGCAGTTGGAGAGTCCTCCCGAATGGCATGCAGCAGCTTGTTGTTCTACATGCTAGTGCTGTGGAGACTGTGATAGAAGGACTCTGTGGGGCAGGCAAGTAGGGGAGAAGGAGAGGAAAAGGGCAGAAGAACAGCTTCAAGTGGGGTAAAAAGCATAGAATCAAACAATTGACACATACTCTTAAAATATGGTACTATTATTTGGGAAATTCCAAATATTATATACTTACAGTCATCTTCTGAAGGTTCAGGTAGATCTTGAGTAATAAATTGTCAGCACTAATAACCTGTTCAGTGAGGTGGAGGCTAGCAAAACGAGTGTGGATTCAGCCTCTCACCACCCACCCACAGGTGATTTGGCAAGTGGTGACTGAAGCTTTATGTACTGTATCCCTTTGCATTCCACTTCCACGTGGGGATCTGCATGTAGAAGCTAACGTCTGCAGAGGTGCATAATCAGGTAGATGTATGTAGTCCAGAGATTAGGAGAAAAAGCATCCAATTAAAATCGGAAACCTGAATCTATTTAAGTGATATTCAGAATGACCTCTTATGTTTAGAATAGTATCCCTTGTTGTTGTTTCTGCTTACAAGACAATGTACAGGCTTGCCTGTACAGTACAGTAATTGAACTTGTCATAGTCTAAGGGATTTTTAAAATATATTTTTAATCTGGTTACAGCAATTGTGTAAGTAATGAAATTGACAGGTGAGATATTTTACTCTCTGGTTCTCTACTGGTAGAAAATAATTTGAATGATTCAGACTAATTGGATAGGTTATTGTGTTGTTGTCTTCCCAATGTGGCGGCACCTTTTGGTGTCATGGTGTCTCTCAGTATATTTCCTGGTGCCCACTTTCCTAAAGCATCTGTTCCTCAAACCAAAAAGCCAAACCTGACTTTCTTCCATCTCATTGGAGCAGGAGGGGCTTCAGAAAACCCAGGAGGAATCACCTTTGTGTCTGCAGGGAGCACCCATTTGGAAATAGCTACTCCATCATAGCAAGACTCTTAGCTTGGAACTTCCCACTATTCTGTGATAGGCCCCATCAGCTGCACCCCACAGATCTACTGCCATTTTGTGGTGGTGCCCACTACCTGTTTTCAGAATCCAAAAGTGCTCAGAGGGTTAACAAAGTTGGGAACCCCTAGAATAAAGAGTAGATTTTGAGAAAGTTTTTATAAAAGTCAGAATTATTCAGTTTTTGATTTGGGGAACATTATGGTCTTTTAGCATAAGGTGTCATGAGATATTGTATATTTCACGTATACTTTCTAGAACAGTGCCATACTAGAACAGTGCCATAGAATGTGTAGGGATGGTAAAGCAGTAATAGGGAACATATACATCTACATTCAGAAAATAAAAAGCTTAGGCATCAGAGTGTAGCAGTGACAGTATAAAAGAAACTGTGTACATTTTTGTCAGGTTTAGGATACTTGTAAATTCTTTCGTTCTCCTTTCAGAATGCAGCTGAATTACTGCAAAGCCTTCTAGATTTTGTGTGATTCTTCTGCAACTGTTACTAGCATGGCTTTACCGATTAATCTAAAGTAGGAGTTTTGCCTTATATTTAAAAAAAAGTTTTATTTAATCTGAGTAACTTCTTCCTATATTTTGAGATGTTGCCTATATATTTTTGTTATACAGAGTAACAATAATAACTCAAGAGTATGGGGTTGAAGTAAGAGGCATATTAAATATATGAAAACTCTTCAAAATCTCTTGGGATGTTGTTTTTTGAGGAACAAAACTGGGTGGAACAACTTTACAATGTATATTTTTTTCAAACAACATTTCATCTTTCACTGAATTAGTGACATCAAGATTAATGGTAACTAGAAGGATACACATAAACCTTTGCTGCTGTTTAGTTGTCATAGGTCAATTAATCATTGTCCTCTCCTATTCATATGAGTGAAGAAATGGTGCTTGTTTGACTTTCAAGGCCAGTAATTTCATAGGTGTTTGGTGGGTGTTCAGTTTATAGGTATTGCAGTGACAGAATATTTTCAAGTACGTGTAACATCTTGATAGTCCACAGTGTAACTGAAAAGTGATCTGGTTTCTTGAAATGGTTATATTGCGCTTTGTGCTGGCTATAAATTATAATCCCATCTTTAAGACACCGTATTAACTGTAAAATTTTGTTTATTTTTTGCATATTTCCCCCGAGTGGTGTGATTTCTCCTTGTGAAAGTATACTTCCTAGAGACCCTTGGCACCTTTTGTCAGCATCCTTCTTCTGAAGCACTGGCTTAGGTCACACTTTTTCTGCCCTCGCTTGTGAAGTGCATGGCTGACAAGCCTTACTCCAGTAACTGGATGTTGCCCTTTAAATCTCCCCTTACATGGCAGGAGAGGCTCTTGAATTCTCTTACCCATTTCCATCCACAGTATCCATAGCAGGTGGAGTGAGCAAAGGGGTGGGATGTCTTTTTTCCCTTCCTGCAACAGGAGATTTAAAGGGAAATATCCAGTATCACCCTGGGTAAAAACTGTTCATGAATGCACAAAACTGCTTTTGGAAGGAAAGAAGCATAACTGTGCATGTGTTGCTGTGTGGTCTGTTTTGGAGCTGTTGCACAGGAAAGAGACTTCTTGAAGAGGCAGAGGTAGGGATGGATACAGACTAGCAATCTTAATAGTGGCTGTTAAAAGAGCTCTCTATTTTAGAGAGCATTTAAGATAGCAAAATCTACCATCACCAGACCTGAGATAAGGCTGGCTGCTGCCTATAAGATCTCCAAGTGCTTTTGGGGGAAACCCCTCTTTACAAGAGAATGAAATTAAAAGTTATTTTGAATAAGTCAGGGTTCACAAATCTGATCAGGCTGCCTCAAGTGTTGAAGATACTAACTTTTCAGAATTCTTAGTATCATGTGATGGGCACCTTCATTATTGTTATATGTGAAGTTATCTTTATTGCCTTAAGTTAGGAAGTACCTTAAATGGTACCTTAAATGGCATGTGTTCAGTGTGGGGAAGTAGATTTTATGGATGGCAGATATTTTAAATGACTTGCATTAGTTTGTTATCCTGTTGAAACTTATGGTAGATTCACTTTTTTGCCCTGATTGTATTGAAGAAACACAAAATTCACATATTACTTCCAAATGAAATGGCTTCTACTATGCTGGTATCTCCTAAACTGCTGTATAGTTGCTAAGGAGGTTAATATACAGCACGTGTATAATTGCAGGACTAAACAGACTCTGCTTCTAGCTTTGCAGCCAACACCCATGGCCACCCACGGGGCATGTTTGAAGCTTCAGGGTTTAGCTGCCAAGTTCTAGAATGTTTGTTGCTGGCTGTGTTCCACTTTTTTGCTGGCTTTGCATTTGGAAAGGTTTGCCATTTGTGGGATTCCTTTTCCAGTGACTTATTTAAAGGAAAGGAATGAAGTGAGGGAAATACCCCTGGATCACATAGCATATTGTCTTCAAACTCATGTTTTATGTAAGAGTTCTTGAGTAGCCAACAAAACCTGACCTGTTCAAGGCATGCAGGTATTGCGATGTTGCACATTTGTTGTCCAGTGAAATGATATTTCCTCTCTTATCTCTGTTTTTGTATCCAGCATTTGGCTTCTAGTGTCATTTCCCATTCCACTAATATCTGCTCCTGTGTTTTTTCATTATCTGTGTACATGCAGACTACCTTGGTTTTTGTCCAAGACATTTCTCTGAACTCCATGAGCACAATCCTCAGAGAAACATGATTGTATTCACATTCTAAGCCCCTTTGATTACTTGGTGGTTAGATTTGATTTCTGCTTCATATACACAGGCCACAAACTGGCTCATGGCAGTTTGTTTATTTACTTTCTTACTTAGTTGCCATATTTAATGTCCCTTCCTGTTCTGAACATGGTTGGGATGAGCCGGTTTATGCTCAGACTAGGGAGGAGGGCAGGGATTGTTCATCCACTTACATTATGGTGTAGAGATGTTCTTATAAAGGTCCATTTGACATGGGAGGCAGGACCTCATCACTAGCACACATGAACTTTGGTTGGCAGTCAAACCCAACCAAAAGTTGTAGATCTTTCATCAGGTATAAACGTTTTCTGAGATTCCATCAAATGATTTCTTTGTCATGAATCAATGTTTGTGGCAGATTTTTTAAAAACAGTAACTTTATTGCATCAGTTAGTTGACTTAAAGAATCAGTCCTACCATATGTTTTTATGATTCCTTTCCTCTGCCTCCTGTAAAAATATATAGGCCGCGGGCACACGGGCAGGAAAATGTGGGGGGAGAGCGTGGCTGTTTGCCCTGGGGCAAAATAACGCACGGTTGCGCCAGCAGACGTACCGTGGAGGTCCCATGGAGGTCCCGTGGTAGGGGGAGGTGCCAAGAACACCACAATCCTGCGCCGCGGCAACGAAGTGGCGTGGCATGGCAAACGGGTGGTTTTTTCTCCGGACACCAAAGTGTGCGCATGCCCCGTTGGGTGCTCATGTGCATCCCATGGACAGTTGAAAAAAAAACCCCTTTATATGAGGGGGCATGGGCGGGTGCCGGAACTACCACCGGAAACGCAATCAGATGCCCGCCCTTGCCCCGCGGTTACTGGAAACTAGTACCTCCGAGGTACTAGTTTTTAACCGTGCATCTTTGGCGGGAAGCCTCGGGTTCGCCATGGGAGCTCTACGCTTCCCAGATGTGGCGGTGAGATCGCGCCCGGAAAATCCACCTATCTTCCGTCTCTCTAGCATGCCTAATGCTCCGTGTGACCACAGCCA